TTCATTTCCATCACAATATCTTTATATAATCAAAGTTACGACATATAAAATCTAAAAAATACCCACTATATATCATAATAAAAGATAATTTTGAACAAATTACTAATATTTTCTAGAAAGATATATCTGTGCATTGCATGGGTATTTTGTTTAGTTACTATATATATAAACATATAGTTATTTACTTGCTGTCGAATTTGTATGCACATTGTTTACTTTTACTTCATTTAGTTTCCTCGCTTCCACACAAGTTCAATGTTTCATGAATCTCATAACATGTGATCAATATGATTTGCAAATGGAATATGAAATGAAAATTATCGTTGAGTTTAATGCAAATGAGATTATTATTTAATTGCAAATTCATCAATATAAAAGTACGCAAAATTTATATGAACATATGAACATATGGTTAATGTCAGAAAAGAAGTTATTTTAAACTTTTTTTTCAACATGTTCTACTTTTTTAGAGCCCATTTGGTAATACCAAAATTGGCTTATTTGGTTGATTCTGCTGAAATTTATGAAATTCTGGTTGAAATGGTTGGATTGGCTGATTCTGTTGAGTTATGAAAAGATTATATTTAAAATATATTTTATTAATAAAATTAAGAAAAATTATATGAAATAATCGTTAAACGGATTCTCTACAGTAACTTCAGTCAATACAACTGAAAAAGTAACTTTAACTTTACTTTTTCTTATTATTACACAATTCAGCGAGCAATATCAAAAATTACGTGTTTGGTGAAAAAATTGGTTGATAAGCCTCATAAGTTAAAAAACATGATCACCAATTGGGTCTTAATCTTCTATTCGATACGTTTCACTTTTAAACTACCGAGTATTAAATTCACACAATTCACATTTCTTTTAGTTTTATTGAAAGTTCTATTGAAACGAATTGAAAACATTTTGATAACATTGAACTTGATTGTATCGCTTGAATTTGCTTATGTTGATGAAGTGTTGGCTGGAGCGGTAAATTGGTTGAATATGTTGAATTATGGAAAAGTTATACACAAAGTATTTATTTTGCTAATATCATAAAGAAAAAATTATATGAAAATAGTTAGAATAGTCATCTACAGTAATTTTAACCAATTCATCCAGAAAAGCAATTTTAGTCTTACTTATATTGACTGTTACACAACTTAGCGTGTGATATCAAAAATTATGTGTTTAGTGAAAATGTTAGCTAATAAACCTAAAATAGAGATTAAAAAAGAGGATCTAAATGTGTGGAAAAGAAATTCTATAAGAAATATGCTACAAAAATACTACTTGTACACGCCGGCTTACATGCCCGTTTACCCGTCAAGTATATTTTGTCTGTGTATAGATAATTGATTTTCATTTTAGTAAAAGGAATTCTCTATGACCCCGAATTGTCTGTGCACAGACAATTCACTTTTTGGAGTTACAAACGGTTCCTTTTACTAAAATAAGAATCAATTATCTGTGTACTGACAAAATATACATGGTGGGTAAACCGGCGTGTGCAAGTAGCATTTTTGAATATGTTATGTGGTAAAAATATACTCTATGAGAAATTGAGAAGTAGCTTGACACGCGGAGTATACCTTTTTTAGGTCAAAAGTAAATTCTTTTTTTCAACATTAGCTCTAACTTTTGTTTATTATTTTTGATGAATCGTTTTCTCTTTAACTTGTGCAGTTGTACTCCTCTTTTTCAAAAGAGCGAAGAACAAGCAATGTATTCATCTGGTCAGACGTACGTAAATTAGCGTACCAAATACCAAGCATAATCTGAAGAGTTTACTTGAAGCTAATTGAATAGATAAAATGACTAAATCATTTGAATGGAGTGAACTAGAGTTGTTCACTGACTTGTTTAGATGGCTGAATCAACTCAATTTCTGATCAGATATGAATTTTTCTGATTTGATCTGAACTTTTTTTTAAGAGTCATCTGAACCTTTTTTTATTTGATATAATACGTGAATAAGTAATAAGCAATAAGATTAAGAGCCTATTTGGTAACCCTGAAATCGGCTGATTATGCTGAAATTTATGAAGTTCTGGCCAAAGTGGCTGAATTGGTTGATTCTGCTGATTTATGAAAAAATTAAATTTAAAATATATTTTATTAATAAAATAAAAAAATTATTTGTAAAAATAGCTAAAATAGTCCTCTACAGTGACTTCACCCGATACAGCCAGAAAAGTAACTCCAGCCTTACTTTTTCTTATTATTACACATTTCGGCGCGCGAAATCAAAATTTACGTGTTTGGTGAAAAAATTGACTATAAGTCTGATAAGCCGAAAAAATGTTACCAAACGAGCTCTAAGACAAATATATCACTAAAAATGTGGTAGATTACATTTGTATAATGTAACAAGTCATTGAATGGTAAATAAAAATTCTTAATGTTGCATGGTAGTCAAAATACGATAGTAATAACACATACGATGTACAAACCTTAGGCCAAAGAAAACTCATTTGACCTAGGCTAGGGATGTTCAAAGAATCAAAGTTGAAATGTCGGAGTAGTTTGCACATCATTTGATTTTATTATATGGCTCTAATAGAGCTAGTCAAGTTTGAGTGAGGCTTAGATAGAGTCTTACTTAGTTACTTGACAAAAAATACCAAGTTTGAGTTTGAGTTTGAGTTGAGTTCCTCTAGAGACGAGAAATACTAGGTCTGTTTGTTTAGTGGCGGATGTATGCCAAACCGCTGGATTAAGCAGCGTTTCCCTTTGTAATTTTTTGGCGGATTGGGGGAAAATGCATGCCAACATCCAAACGGCCCCACTATCTATGTTGTTTAGTTCGAGTTACAATTTTATCTATTCAAAAAACATACTTGTATATATTTATATTCAAAGTTTAATTTGACATATGTTAAAACAAATATGGGCAATCATCAAATTTTTTTAAACATAAAATCACTATTTTAAAATTCCGTGCCTAGTTGTCTCTTAAACATAATATTTTTTTAAATATTAGGTCTCAAGTCTCAACTCTCTTTGAATTGTTGTGCATTATTTATTTAAATCTAATATGAACTAATTAAGTTCAATTAATCCTACTTAATTTTGCTTGAACGTCACCTCAAAAATGTGTCAAGCCTGCATCACACTTTTAGAACATTGACTAAAATGTTAAATAATATTTGAATCTCAGAATCTCCAGTATATAGATAGTATATGCCACATTTAGTTTTACAAATAACATTTGTAACATTTGACTAAAATGTTAAATAAAATTGTCGATTGCATATATCTATTAGAAACTTATTATTTATCTTTTTATATTTTTTTTTAGAATGAGAGTTAAAATAATGCTTCAGGCCAAATTACCAAATTGGTAAAAAAAAAAGGAGTTGTTGGATAGATTGGTAAAAAACAATTTGAGACATATTGGTAAAAAAGAAGAAGCCCGTAACAAATTGGTCAATTTTTTGTGAGTGATAAACTTTTGATCCTAGACTTTAGAATTCCCGACATTTCATATTCTAAGTAGTGTATTGTGAAATTGACATTTGTAGTCCTTTTACTTTGATTTTTTCATCAAAAGTGGAGGTCTAAAAATGTCAACGACCGTGTTTGAAAATAGTAGTTGTTTGCTAGCTCATAACCGGTTGAATTAGCAAATTGATATTAACGGATTCCGTTAGCTTTTTTAACTAACCGCTTTGAAATAAAATGTTAGTAACTTAAAATTTGCAATTAGCTTTTCAGACGTAAAATGACGTTAAAAATGAATGAAAAAGTTTATATATTAAAATTAATTTTATTATTTTATTTTTAATAAGTCTTGGAAAATATTTTAAAAAATATGTTTACGTTTATTTTAAACAATTAATAACACTATCATTTTTAAGATATGTACATTAATGCAAGTACGCACATATAAATTCATATATTTTTAGTATTAATATTTTAAATATGATTGTTTATTAGTTTTTAAAATATACTCCATTTAAAAAATCTACTCCAGCATTCTACGCCAGTCTCCATATGACTATTTATTAGTGTTTTTTTTTAAATCTACTCCATTTTGATTTAAAATAAATGTAAACATAATTTTTAAAACCTTTTCAAAGACTTATTAAGAATAAAAGAAAGAAATAAAGTTAAGATATATATACTTTTAATTTCATATTTTTAATGATTATTGTATGTCTTAACATTTTATCGCAAATAGTTAAGTTAATAATATTTTATTTCAAAGGCTAAAGAAAGTGGTCAGTTATAAAAGCTAATGAAATCCGTTATTATTAATATGTTGAGTCAACCGGTTATTAGCTAGCAGACAACTGCTATTATCTAAAGAAAGTTTTAGACCTCCACTTTTGATGACAAAATAAAAAAAACAGTGAAAATGTCAATTTCACAATACTTATAATATGAAATGTCGAGAATTCTAAAATCGAGGATCAAAAGTTTATCACTCACCAAAAATTGATCAATTTGTCACTAGAGCTTCTTTTTTTACCAATATGTCTCAAATTGTTTTTTATCAATCTGTCCAATAACCTACTTTTTTTTATACCAAATTTGGTAATTTGGCCTAATGTTTCACTAAAAAAAAAACTAGGCTAAAGGGTCAAATAGGCCCTTGAACTGACTTAAATTGTTCAATTAGCCCCTTATATAGGAGCTTCTGCCAGGCCGTCGCTAATTAGGGCCGTTCCCGGTGAAATTTTTTGATGAAATTTTTTGAGCATCTTCTTCATTAAGTCTAGTTTACTCATACCAAATTCAGCTAAAAATTCAACCGGGAAGGCAGTCAAATGATTTTCCGAAATGTACTGCGCTGTTTAATTTCACAGTTATCTTCAAAACCTCATTTGACTACCTTCCCGAATGAATTTTTATCTGAAATTTGGTATGAGTAAACTAGACTTAACGAAGAAGATGTTCAAAAAATTTCATCAAAAAATTCTACCGGAAACCACCCCAATTGGTACGATCCGGCAAAACCTCCAATATAAAGGACTAATTGAACTACTCTAAGTCAGTTGGCCTATATGACCCGTTAGCCAAAAAACTAACATTGCTACGGAGTACGTGTTGCTATCTAGAGCAAAACTCACTCTTTTCCCGATTTTGACGGCCGACAACTAATTCCAGCTGTCGAGAGTAGAAACCCAAATAAAAACAAGTTTTTTGAAAAGTTCTTTATCGTTGCGTGCTCGTCTCTCGGAAAGAAAGACTTCAATCGGCTGCAAATTTAGAGAGAAAGAAAATGAGGGAGATCATCAGCTTACACATTGGTCAGGCCGGGATTCAGGTTGGCAATTCCTGTTGGGAGCTCTATTGCCTTGAGCACGGCATTCAACCAGATGGAATGATGCCAAGGTACTTTTTCCTTGCAACTTCAAATTCCACCGGAATTGTAATCAGGGTATACTTTTAACTTTGCAAAGGAGCAGGCTACACTGTGTTTGGTGGAGTTTTAATTTTCTTAGTTAAACTCAATTTCTTATAACATAATTTGCTTATCATAAAGACATACACTTTAGTCTTTTGGTATTCTATAGAATGCAGAGGATGATAAACTTTGAACTTTTGTTATTGTGATGCTTGGTTTTTGACAGGAGAAGGTTTGTGGAAGGACAAGCTTGTATGAAGTTAAGGTTTTTAGCAATACTTTTTTTGGCAATCACAAATATCCCAAATATGACGAAAATGATGATGAATCACTCTAAACATATCTAAATTTGAATCCAAATCATCAAGTTAAGCGTATTTTAACAGAGTCACTTATAGTTTTTGAAGTAATAAATGATCAGATTTGTAGTCGAAAATCGATTCTCTATCATTCCGTTATATATTCAAATAGATGTATTGCTTAAAAGGTTTTAAATTGTGTATATTATTGGTCTACTCACGATAGTTCGTATTGTTTAAATTTATTTGCAGTTGCAGTATTTATTGAGTTGTGTTGAACAATTATGTGTTACGTATATAATGACTCCGTTAAACTTGTTTACTTCCTTATTTGGTTGCAGTGACACGTCATTTGGCGTTTCAAACGATTCTTTCAATACCTTCTTCAGTGAAACTGGTTCAGGCAAACACGTACCAAGAGCCGTATTTGTTGATCTTGAGCCAACTGTTGTGGATGAAGTGAGAACAGGGACATATAGGCAACTGTTTCATCCTGAGCAACTTATTTCTGGTAAGGAGGATGCAGCCAATAACTTTGCCAGGGGACATTATACAGGTACCTCTCTACATACTGCAGCAAAAGAAAGGATACAATGTTCATTTTTATTAATAGTACAACTTAATGTATTCATTTCACATATTTTCATTCTTTACAGTGGGGAGAGAAATTGTTGATCAGTGCCTTGACAGAGTGAGAAAGTTAGCTGACAATTGCACTGGTTTGCAAGGATTCTTGGTCTTTAATGCTGTTGGTGGTGGCACAGGCTCTGGTTTGGGATCCTTGCTTCTGGAGCGTTTGTCTGTAGATTATGGAAAGAAATCGAAACTTGGATTTACCATCTATCCATCTCCTCAGGTAATTACCAGTATGCTTTTATGGGATTATTATCATGTTTTGGGAAATTTTCTAAATTTCTTGTAAAGAAAATCTTATTTCCAATTGGTTGGGGAAAGAATCTCAAAAATTAAACAGATGAAGTAAAACAAGAAAATATATTTTAGAAAAACTGTACGTTCTTGGAATAGATGGATCTGGGATAGAAATCGGAATTTCAGGTCTGGAAGATTGAGGAAAGTACTTCTTTCTATCGATTTTTTTGCTCCCTCCATCCAACTATCTTTGTCCTTTTATGTTTATCCCATACCACCACAATCTTCATCCCATTTGGTAATATTTATCAGATTTAAACTCAGGCATACTTTTACAAATTCAAAATCAACTACATAATTCCATTATTCTTAACACGCGTCACTTCATCGTGTCCCAAAGAGAGTGTGACAGAGTTAGTAATAATTTTCATCCTCAAAATTCAGATTATCTTTTGCTAAAGTTTGTCATTTGTTATGAACTTGTAGGTGTCCACTGCTGTTGTTGAGCCTTACAACAGTGTCCTATCCACACATTCCCTCCTAGAGCACACAGATGTGGTTGTGCTTTTGGACAATGAAGCAATATATGACATATGTAGGAGATCGCTAGACATTGAAAGGCCAACTTACACAAACCTGAACCGTTTGATATCACAAACCATCTCTTCTTTGACGACTTCTTTGAGGTTTGATGGAGCGATTAATGTTGATGTCACTGAGTTCCAAACTAACCTTGTACCTTACCCTCGTATCCATTTCATGCTTTCTTCTTATGCTCCTGTGATCTCGTCTGCCAAAGCTTATCACGAACAGTTGTCTGTTCCCGAGATCACAAATTCAGTTTTTGAACCATCAAGCATGATGGCTAAGTGTGACCCGAGACATGGGAAATATATGGCCTGTTGTTTGATGTATCGCGGTGATGTTGTTCCCAAGGATGTCAATGCTGCTGTTGCTACTATCAAGACAAAGAGGACCATTCAGTTTGTTGATTGGTAAGTATTTCTGTACATATAATTATCTCTCTAGGAAATGTTAAGTTTGAGCTGTAGTTTGTTGGTTGGTAAGTGTTTTTGTACATATAATTATCTCTTGAGGAAATGTTTAAGTTTGAGCTGTAGTTTGATGGGCGTGTTTGGCATTTAGAGCCATTAGCGGTTAGCGGATAGCGGATTATGTTAGTTGGTTGTCAATAGCGGATTCAATCGACGAGTTTGACTAGCGGAATAAATTGGCAGGTTTTCAGAAGATGTTTGGTAATTTAGTTGTTAAGACATAAAAGTAAAGAGAAAACACCATATTTCAACACGCCAACCCAAAACTCTCCTATTTACAGCGTTTCCATTTCAGCAGTTCCGTTCAAAAACGCTAGTGCCGAACAACTATTTACCAAACAACATTTCCATTTATTGACAACGCTAAAAATGGTCAAACCGACATTTTATGGTTGAAACGCCATTTGCCAAACACCCCCAATACCTGATTTTTAGTGTCTTTAGGAACTGTTTACGTTTGAGCTGTAGTTCGATTTGGTTCTTAACTTTCTTTTAGATTCAATTTGGTTCTTGACCATGTTAGACTCGATTGAGTTCACAGGCTTATCTTTCTCTATATATGAAGGGTGTTTTGGTCTGCTAACTTGGATCCAGATTACATAGTTTGACAACCAAATTGAGTCCTATACTCGGTCTAAATTGACAAAAAGTGTGAGAGTTATGGACCTGTTTCCTTGCTTGACAAATGTGTTGTAATCTGAACTTTTTAATTAAGATTTGGTCAAGTCTGAATCTTTATAGTGGTTCCGGATATGTTTGAAAGTTTCTTGTCTTTTCTGTTCTGATCAGGTTTGAGTCTTTCCAATCTTGGATTTGATCGGAATCTTTCTGGTCTTGCCTGAATCCAATGCTTATGATATTGACTAACATTCTTGTCTGACATATCACATCTGGTCAGATTTGAACTATTTTGGTTTCATTTGAACTAGTCTGACACTCTGACCTGACTGCTCGTAGTCAGGTTTAATTAATAAAAGAATAAACGTTAAGCAACAAAATGAAGTCAAGAGAATAATATGTAAGTTGAGTTCAGATTGCATTGTTGAGGACAGAAATTGAATGCTGAAAAAAGTTGGGGACAGGGACAATTAATGACAATATAAAGTCATCATCATCATCATTACCCCAGTGTTGCAAAGGCTCCCACCTACGGTGGGGTAAGGGAGGTCGGAGGAATAAAACATCATCATCATGACTTTAATGATGGTCAAAGGAATAAAACATGTGTCAACTCTTTTATCATTTATTGATGATATGTGGGCCTTTTCAGGTGCCCTACTGGTTTCAAGTGTGGGATCAACTACCAGCCCCCAACGATGGTGCCAGGAGGTGATCTTGCACGGGTGCAGCGTGCAGTCTGCATGATAAGTAACAACACTGCTGTGGCTGAGGTCTTCTCCCGAATTGACCACAAGTTTGACCTTATGTATAGCAAGCGTGCCTTTGTTCACTGGTACGTTGGTGAGGGTATGGAGGAGGGGGAGTTCTCAGAAGCCCGAGAGGATCTCGCTGCCCTTGAGAAGGACTACGAGGAAGTTGGAGGTGAAGGGTGTGATGATGAGGATGAGGAAGAATACTAAATGTAGTACGACATGGAAGTCGACTCGTAACTCATTCATTACCATGGTTTCATTACCATGGTAGTTGTGGCCGTTGCAATTGCAATTAGTACTATTCTATGGGCATTATTGATGTGTATATGTTGTGAATGTTCATTCTAGTTGCATTTTTGTTCATGGGAATGAATCCTATTGGTGTGCTTGTGTAGTTGGAAACTCATGTACAGGAATGATCAATGAACAATGATGTATCATGTATGTATGCAGCATATTCACATCTTTCCATTTACTGATTTTTTTCAAAATTGGCAATTGGTTTAGATCTCTGGATGCCCAATGAAGCCTTTTAATTAATACTCCGTAATACATAACACCTTACCTAGCGGTCAATTACATCTTCAGTAGCTTTCGGGTAGTTATTCCTTAATTACGAGTGTATCTTTTTCCATATCCCTATTTGATATATTGACATAAGTCCTTAACTTCTGTAGGATGTCATTTTACCGTTGAAAAGTAAGAGATGCTATGTGTCTTCCAATTCTCTTTTTGAGAAAACTGTTTCACAAAATTTGTGTCTTACTTTTCTCTTTTGTGATGAGAAGAGTCTTGGAATATATACTCACAAGGCAAGGATAGGGTTAGTAGGTAAATTTGTCATTTTATACCCTTGCTTATTTCATGGATGGAATAAAAATTACGTTGTTGAAAATACTAAGATTGTTTTAAGGGATAAGCCTCGTAAATCATAAAGCATGTCATCCAGGAGATGACAATATCAAAATATGGACAAATTATATGTGTACATATATGGGCTAATGGGCCCTGTTGTCATTTTTTTCAACTTTTTAGGTCTATTTTTACAAAAATACTATAGGAGTATAGGTACCCCAAAATGGGGTTTTGGCAATTTGGGGTACCCCATTTTTACTCCCTCCTATTGTGTGACTCAAATGAGGCAACTCATTTAAGTATGACAACTCATTTAAATGGTGACCTCATTTGAACCACACAATGAGTGGGGTAAAAATGGGGTATCCCATTTTGGGATACACCAAGCACAACTCTAGATCAGTTTTTCTATAAAAAAAAAGATCATTTTTTTTCTAGATCAGTTTTTCTATGATAAGTTTTTCAAATATCATTCATGCATACATGATATCTTTAAAATTATATTTGAAAAGCCCAAAAGATCCGGAACCAGATTGTACTATTTGGCCCCGATCCATTTTTTCGAATTCGGGCTAAGGACAAGCCCTATACAGTGGGTTTGGCACCCAATCCCGGGTTACCTGTTTTAGGACTGAACCGGGCACAACAATTTGTTTTCTTTGATTTCAGACTGGTAAAAATAAAATAAAAAATAACGAAATCAGTGATTTAAAAAAAATAAAAATAAAGGGATTGGTATAGGACCCAGAACCTGGACCGACAAGGTATCCCGAACCGGTCCGGAAACCTAAATAAGCGAGTCAGGCCGAGCATCACAACCATTTGGCAAGGACCAGGCAGTCTCAGCCCGGAACCCAGACCGACCCGAGTCCATGCCTAGACTCACCTTTTCCCTTAACATTACTTGACTTAGAAGGTGAACTTGTCATTTATGCATGTACCATTAAATGTCTATGAGGGCATTCTTCTGAGCTGAATTTCCTCAATAGTATGCCTACACTCCTACAGAAGCGTGGCATGACCACATGAATACATGATGAATTGATGATGATGACAATGGAACGCATGGCAGTTTCGGCAAAACACATACAAACAGCTCGTATTGAACTAGGGACTTTCCTTTTCAGGAATATTTTATTGTACTAGGGACTTCTCAACCTCTATTTTACAATCCTCAAAATCATTCTCTAACCCCAATTCTTTACAGTACTTTTCAATAATGCTTTTACAATGAGGCTTTCTTTTTCCCCAACAGCAATGGCAAATCCCAAACAAGTCTTTCTGCTTATCAACAGAATAGGCAACTTTTGATTATGCTGAACTCAATTTCACATTCCCTTACAGAAAGTGAGCATATTCAACAAATAATAATAATGGTACACACACAACCCCCCACCCCTATGAAAAGGATTGACAACTCTGCTACCAATGATTTGCTCAATACACCTTTGGCCAGTACACAAACTGTAGAAAGTATTGATTCTCAACAAATTTCGAATTTGCCCAAACATGTTACCTTGGAACCTCCTTCAGGAAAGCTACCCCACGACCCTCGCTCGAGGGTGACAACAAGTGCTTATCTTGATCTCCGTCATCACAATCTGTTCGCTCATGGGGCGTAAGAGTAGATTGAGAGCCACTCCCATCTTCATCTGGTGTTGTATTTTTATTAACAGAAAAACTGATTTCACCAAAAGATAACATATAACCCGCAAATCGCAATGAATAATGATACAAAGATAGATAACCTGTATATATATGGTACTCTGGGAGCTGTTTAACTGTTGTTGCTTGAAAGCTTTCAGGAAGAAGACAATTGCAAAAAGAGCCTGTCATTTTAACAGTTTAAAATTGCAAAAATATCACAGTTAAATACCGAAAATGACACAGATAGTACACAGAGAACGAAGGGAAGGGTAAATATAAACACCTCCCACTCCTTTTCTTCAACCACACGAGAGGAAGGGGGGTACTTTCCCTATCCTATCCTCCTCTCCCTAAAAAAAACCCAAACCGGACATAAGAACCCTGTTTGGTAATAAAACATGACGTGTTCCACTCGGAACTAAATAAGGTGTTTGAAAATTTCAGACCCAATGGGGATTTTTATTGATGGGTAAAACATCGTTTTTAGGTTCTTTCCATAAAATCACAGTGAAATTGAAATGTATTAGGTAAGCACGATGGGATACATCACTGCATTAGGCTCTCATGGGACGCCTAGGGGTCCTATCTCAATTAGACCCCAGAGAATTCCACTTAGAAGTTAGAACCATCCAACTCCCAATTAGGACACAATTTATTAATTTTTCCTAGACAGGTATCCATACCTAGATAGAAGCGGGGGGGGGGGGGGGGGGGGGAAGAGAGAATGAAGAGATGGATAAGATTACCAAGGCTTGCGAGCCGATTGACCCATCCAGGAATCCCTTTCCCTAAGAGTCTTTTAGCTATATCATCAGTGAAATTGTTGCAGTTCTTGTAGATGAGATGGTAAGTATCCCCATGATACTCAGAAGCCACACTTTCTATAAAAATTCGGAATTGAGAGAGAGGCAAATTATTAACAGAGCCAAGTGGGATGGAACATCTGTACATAAAACCAGGACACCTCTTAGGCTCTACTTCAAACACTCCGCTGAATGGGAAGTCATGTGCTCCAAAACCATATTCCTTTCCATGAACTGATTTTGTTATAATTTGCACATTTCCACATGTAAAAGTTCAAACTGAATGAGTAAACACCTAATCTTGCAATTTTCCACATGGATTAAGAGCATAGGGGCAGAGGGGAAGAAAACAGTTTCAAATTGAAAGAAAACGCGTGCAAAAACAACAAAGAAATGGGAGAAAATAGTTATAAACCAATCAACTGAATGAGTAAATACTAGGCAAATTTTGATATTTTGATATGGAAATTTCTGAAAAACTGTCTGTTGAGTTACAAACTTGAAATAGCTGTCGCATATGGTAGGCCTTCATAAAAAGGATGAAGTAATGTGGGATTCGAGCAAATGTGTTTAGGGAGCTTACGAATTATAGTGGGATTCAATCACACCATTCCTCCACAATCATTACTATGAGATTTTATTTGGATGGAGAGTTTGGGGGGGTTAAAGAAACGAATTTTCAGAGGTTAGTCTACATCTTTACATATATATGAGATTTTATAAAATTGAAAGAATAACATAATATTTGGTTGGGATCATTTAACATTTCAATCACTTTTTTTTTTTGTAATTCATAAACATTCTATTTACCAAGAAACTGACTAGACCTTCTCTTAAAACCCTCCATCCAAATAGAGCCTAAAGGTTTGATACTAAAACCATTAAACTATACTGGCATCTACACAATCTAGAAGGCAAGCATGACAATATAACTATATATGAGTATCCCCAATCTCTAAAGCTCTTAGTATTCATTTCACTATAAGTATCTATTTTGGGCCAAAATAACTAATTTACATTCTAAGAATGCAATAAAAGAAAATGGTGAAAGAAACACAAGAAAATAAATACCCAGAAGATACACGAGCTATGGGTTGACAAGGTTAGATCATTAGAGCCATTCCTAGAATTATGGCTTCTATTCATTTTATGTTAGTTGTCATACTAATTATTGCTTCATTTTTTTCAATAATTACGCATCAATAGTTTCTCATAAATGTTCCCACTGTACCGGGTCACAACTCACCAGGGGTAAGCAATGTGGCAACTTGAAGATTGGTCTAAAATTCAAGAATAATAGGAAGAGCGGGGGATTGAGATCTAAAATTCTTGCACATCAGAACAAATAGACAAAGAATGCTGAAAATTTGAACAAACAAATAATAAAAATTTATTCTTTATCTGCTAACCTTCAATCCCAGAATGAAAGACGCCAAATCCAAACCAAACGGTGTAGTGGTTTATAGGGGTGAGATCATACACGTTCAATATGACTTGTGTCTCACAGCTGCTATTGTTGGGTGAATCGTTCAAAGAAGAATTTGAGGTGTTCTCCTCTCCCATTTAGTTTCCGCTTCAACAAGTAATAAACAACAAATGAAGAAAGCTCCCTCTTCTCCCAGGTTTAGTGATTGAAAAAAGAATTCCTTTTGCTGTCTTTTCTTTTCTCTTTTAGAGGTATGGGGTCTCTAATTCACTAAATCAGGGCTGGACTCCGAACTCCAGATAACTTTTCGATTTCCGAAAAGAATTGAATTTGAATGAGGAAGAAGAAAAGGGCAAAATGGGAGCTTGCATGTTTTTTTTTTCATCTGAGCATGATTGGCTGTACATTTGTTAATTTGTTTGTTTTATTTTTTGACGTACCGGCCAGGCGGCCACAGACAAGAAGCAGGCAACCCGTGAATTTAAAAAAAAAAAAACATTTTAGATGGTATGTTGTACTCGATATATACTATATTGCGCGTTCTTGATAATGCCCATGTTCTTAATTTATTGTTTTACTACTGGAACTTCACGAGTCCATTATTCATATGATAATGGTCTTGTTTGGCAATCGGCGGTTAGCTGTTAGCTGTTAGCTGGTTATGACGACCAGGGCCGGCCCAGGGCATGTCTGCCCAGTGCAACCGCACAGGGCCCGGGTTTTTGAAGGGCCCAAAAAAAAAAATTTAGTAGTATACCCAGCCCAAAAAAAAAAAAAATTAGTACACCCGCCGACCTGCCGGCCGCCTCCCTGAGTCCTGACTCCGGTCAGTTTTCTAATTCTTGCCTTTCTTGGGAATATTTGAATTATTATTGAGTTTTTGAACTTGCTTTGTTTATTGAATTGTTGAATTGTTGTTAATTGTTATTTGTTGATTTTTTGTAGTTAAAGTAAATCATCATTTGGATTGATAATAAATGTGTTTAGCAATAAAACTTTAAGAAAGTGGTATAAATATATAATCACATTAATCAGGGAAGTTCAAATTGATAAATTATAATTAATTAATTATACTAGTATAGAGGTACAGTTTTTCGTGTTTTCACCCTAATTTTAAACTCAATATTAATTCAAAATTTATAAATATGTACAGGATTAGAGGAGAATTTGATTAATTGGTAATAATTATGTCATATAAATACCAATCCGGTCATGACAAGCGTCAAAGGAAAAGAAGACTTGACGAGTTAACAGAGTCTCAAAAAGGAGCTCTTGATAAGTTCTTTGTTAAAGAAGTTAGAGATGTTCAAGAGGGTGAACAAGAAGATGTGAATGTTGAAAATAATGTTGAAATACCTGATCAGTGTGTTAACGACATGGCTCAAAATCCTGATAAAGAGGACCACCAAATCGATGTTTTAGATGATAGGCCAAATAATTCCGTTTTATTTGACATATATGATCCAAGAAATTGGGATGCTCTAGATTCACAGTTGATAGACATTTTGGTAGAGAATGGTCCTAAAAGAGATTTAAATTTTGTGGAAGGGCCTAAAGATAAATTCTCTAGAAGATTCTCAGCGGCATTTTACACTAGAAGTTTGCCTAATGGAGAGAAATGTGATAGAAACTGGCTTGTTTATTCAAAGGAGCTTGATAGAGTATTTTGCTTCTGTTGTAAGATTTTTAGAAAAGGTGTTGGCAAAGGTTCTTTAGCCAACACGGGTTTTGCTGATTGGGTACATCTTGGTGCTAGACCAAGAGAACATGAAACAGGTGTGGAGCATATGGGTAACATGAGGACTTGGGTAGAATTGAGGCTTCGATTAAAGAAAAATGAGACAATTGATAAAGTAGCTCATGATCAACTTTTGAAAGAAAAGGAGTTCTGGAGACAATTGTTGTTTAGGGTGATTGCAACTGTGAAATATCTTTCTAAGCATAATTTGGCCTTTCGTGGAACGAATGAGCGGCTCCATCAGAATCATAATGGGAATTTTTTAGGATTAATTGAGATGCTGGGTGAATTTGATCCTATTATTCAAGAGCTTATTCGTCGCGTTGACAATAAGGATACTCATCACCATTATCTTAGTCATAAGATTCAAAATGAATTGATAGAGATGCTTGCTTCAGGAGTGAAATCTAATATCATTAAAAGAATCAAAGAAGCTAAATATTTTTCTGTGATACTAGATTGTACTCCCGATTCGAGTCACCAAGAACAAATGACTTTGATATTAAGATGTGTTGATATCTCCTCTTATCCGGTTAAAATAGAAGAATTTTTCTTGGAATTCTTGGTTGTGAATGACACGACAGGTCTTGGCCTTTTTGAAGTGTTGCAAAGTGTGTTGAAGTCTCTTGATCTTGATATTGATAATGTTAGAGGGCAAGGATATGATAATGGATCAAACATGAGAGGTACGCATCAAGGTGTGCAAAAAAGACTCTTGGATGTAAATCCTAGAGCATTCTATACTCCTTGCGGTAGTCATAGCCTTAATTTGACTTTGTGTGACATTGCTAATTGTTCTCGAAAAGCAAGAGATTTTTTTGGAGTAGTGCAACGAATCTACACACTCTTTGCTAATTCTACAAAAAGATGGCAAGTTTTAAAAAACAATGTCAAAGGATTAACTCTAAAATCCTTATCAAGCACTCGGTGGGAGAGTCGTGTGGAAAGTGTCAAAGCAATAAGGTTTCAAATCAGTGACATCCGAGAAGCATTGCTAGAATTGGCCGAGACAGACAATGATTCTAAAATACAAAGTGAAGCTAGATCCTTAGCTACAAATGATCTTTGTAATTTTGAATTTTTGCTTGCTACTGTTATTTGGTATGAAATATTATATGCTGTTAATTTGGTGAGCAAAAGTCTACAAGCAAAAGATATGCTTCTTGATGTTGCTATCGTTGAAGTCCAAGGGCTAATTTCATTTTTTGAGAAGTATAGAGAAATTGGTTTTTCTAGTGCTATGCATGTGGCTAAAGAAATAGCCAATGAATTGGAAGTTGAACCAGTGTTTCCTCAGAAGCGTGTCATCCGTAGAAAAAACAATTTGATGAAAGTGTTGGTGAATCTTCTGTATCATCCACATCAACACCAGAAGAGTTGTTCAGAGTGGAATATTTTGTCTACATAGTTGATCAGTCTATTGGCTCATTGACACGGAGATTTGAGCAATACAAAGTATATGAAAATATGTTCGGGTTGTTGTTCAATTCTGAGAAGTTACAATCTCTTACTGATTTAGATTTGGAGTCATGTTGCACTCATTTACAAACAGTACTGCAGAGGGATGGGGAATGCAGCGATGTTGATGGAAACGATTTGTATATTGAGTTGAAGTTGCTTAGAGAAATTTTGCCAAGAGAAAAGATGGGGGCATTAGCAATTTTAAATTCATTAAAAGAAATGAATTGTTTTCCAAATGCTTTTATTGCGTACAGGGTTTTGCTAACCATTCCGATTACCGTCGCCTCGGCAGAACGAAGTTTTTCCAAGTTGAAGTTGTTGAAGTCCTACTTGCGGTCAACTATGTCACAAGAGAGACTCAATGGATTGGCATTGATATCCATAGAATCTGAAACACTCGAAGAGATTGACATTGCAAGTTTGGTAGATGACTTTGCATCCAAATATGCTCGAAGAATGTCTCTTTTTAAATAAATTGTAAGTTATTAACGACTTTTTTATTTTTATCATTACCTTTATTAGTAACTTGTATTTTAAGACTATTTGCTTGCGTTGCAACTCGGAAAAGGGCCCAAATTTTATTCTCGCACAGGGTCTACATTTTCTCGGGACCGGCCCTGATGACGACTGCTTGATCACAGCTGGTTATGTTAGCTGTTTTGATTGGCTGGTTATGTTAGATTGTAATTAATAAATGTTTGGTAAAGTTAGCTGTTGTGAAACAACTTTTTGAGTGTAAAAAGACACATAAGGACATGAGCAATTATATAATATTTGAATAATGCTAATAGTGATAATGTTGAAACTATAATTTATTTTCAGAAAAATATTTAAGAAAAAAAATTATTTGAAATGTAAAAAGAATAAATTAAATTTTAAAATAAAAGTATAATGAATCAAATGACAAACATTAAACAAATCATGAAAATACAAACACAACTTCAATTCTTGATTAAAGCTCCTCAAAATGGAAATAAACAAGATCACTCTCATTGTTACAAAGTTGGGTTTTGGAATCAGTAGCTAGTATTTCATACTCCAGCTTTTTCTAGAAACATATATATGAAAGAATGCATATAAAAATACAAACGGACAAAAAATTATGAATTCTTACAGATGTTCCAATGTAAAATAAATACTTTTAAAACTTGAAACAAAAGAAACGCACAAGCAGTGATCCCTGACTGCAAAAGGGTAGCAGATGCAAATTAATTGAATAATGCAAAAATTGTGAAAAAAGAGAGAAGAAAATTCAAGAGAGATGATCACGCACCTTTCTTTGCACTTGGCGAAGACGAAAGGCAGATGAGAAAAAGAACCGTTGAATACCAGGGTATAAAGGGTAAATCGTTTTTGGATCAGCCGACATGAGGTATAAACGCTGCTTGGTCCAGCTTCTCAATATTCGGCTTCTTCCGATGGGTAAGCCGAATGGACAATCTGATTACCAAATAACATTTTTAGCTTTTTAACATAGTCAACCAACTATTGTCAGTCAAACAAGCTAAAAAATGGTTGATAAGCCATTTTCCAAACAACCCCAATAAGTGGTATATTATAGACTACAATTCCTTAAAGAAAAACAAGTTTAAATACATGTGATGAGAAAAAAACTAAGTAGCACGGAAACGTGAAACGGGAAACGCGAGAAACGTAATTTCTACAAAATATAGGATACGAAACGTGGGGGAAACGCGTAAATATTATAAAATATAAGGATATATTTAAAAATATTTTTTAATTTATGTACACAAGTTTTTCCATATGCACATGTTTTTTTCATATAATTTGTTTAGTAATCAAATAATAAAATCAATCTACATGTTCCAATTTAGATATTATTTCATATTAGTACATAATTAAACATAAAATGTACGGAGTAATACATTTCTAGCAATACATTGCATTACGAAATGTAACAAGTGTTGCTGCAGAGAAATACCACAAAGTCACTATTAAACAAATTTATTTTCCGCCACAAAATCTTTAAAAAAGAAGAAATATAGGAATCCAAGGTTTCCGAAACGTAGTGAAACAGGTTTCCAAATTTTTCTAAATTACGGAAACGGCCCCGAAATGGGAATTTGAAGTTTTCGAGTTTCCGAAACGCTTCCGAGTTTCCGAAACGTGGAAACATGAGCCGTGGAGAGTTTCCATGCTTCATAGGAAAAAAATACATTTGATATATGAGCAAATTCAGAATGAAATATATTCCAATTTATAAATTATTAACACAAAATATTAAATA